TCGCAGCAATAAGATTCCGACGGGACAAATAGTGAAACGGGTGTAGCCGAAAACAATACGCAACGAACGAACCGAACACACCAATAATAAGACTTCACGCAATTACCTCTGGGGATCGTATGTCGAATCGATCATACAGAGTACCTTGCCCGTTGTTTCTCGCCCCTTCCTCTTCCCCTCCTCCGGCGCCGCCGCCGCCGCCGCCCCCCTCTGCCCCACCCCCAAACCTCAGGCCCCCGCGACCAGCGCCAGCGCGCCGTAGTCGTCTGTTGAAGGCCTGTCCACTTCGCCTGATGCGATCAAGAACAGGCGTCGTCTGCCTCCGCGCATCGGCCCTTGCATCCGTGTCGGATTGCCGCCGCCTCTCGCGGGTGTCGGGGCTGAGGGCGCCACGCGCCGCCGCTCTCGAATCACTGTCCTGTTGCCGCCGACTCTCGCGGGTGTCGGGGCTGAGGGCGCCACGCGCCGCCGCTCTCTGTTGTTGCAGCCTCTCGCGGGTGTCGGGGCTCAGGGCGCCACGCGCCGCCGCTCTCGAATCAGTGTCCTGTTGCCGCCGCCTCTCGCGGGTGTCGGGGCTGAGGGCGCCACGCGCCGCCGCTCTCGAATCACTGTCCTGTTGCCGCCGACTCTCGCGGGTGTCGGGGCTGAGGGCGCCACGCGCCGCCGCTCTCTGTTGTTGCAGCCTCTCGCGGGTGTCGGGGCTCAGGGCGCCACGCGCCGCCGCTCTCGAATCACTGTCCTGTTGCCGCCGACTCTCGCGGGTGTCTGGGCTCAGGGCGCCACGCGCCGCCGCTCTCTGTTGTTGCAGCCTCTCGCGGGTGTCGGGGCTCAGGGCGCCACGCGCCGCCGCTCTCGAATCAGTGTCCTGTTGCCGCTGCCTCTCGCGAGTCGACGGGGAAAGGGCAGCCCTTCGCAAGCGGTCCCTCTGCCGACCGTTCTGCCGGGCAACATCAGCAGCAGCAGCAGCAGCAGACTCAGGAGCGGTTGTTGCCCTTCCCCCTACTCTCCCTCCTCTCCCTCGCTCTCCATCCCTGCCCCGAGACCGCCCCCTGCCTCTTCCCCTCTGTCCTCTTCCCCGCCCACGGGCACGCCCCCGCCCCCGGGAACGCCCGGGCAAATTTCCTGGATGGTCGGTCAGGAGAACAGAAGACATCCGGCTACGACCGCTTCTGCGTGGGCCATTTTCTCCCACAGCAGTAAGTGAGCTTGTTGTGGGCGACGATGGAAGGAGTCCAACATAGAGTACGGCAGGGGGGTGGAGGAGTTGGAAACTAACATAGTATATACGCAAAAGTTTAAGAGTACACTTGACTTGAAGTTAGACTGCAGGGGTGAAGAGGCCGCATGTTTTGTTTTTCGTGCAGCGGAGAACACACGCACTGTCTGTCGTGCAGCAGAGAACACACGCACTGTTTCGTGGCGTCGCGTATTGGTACAGCAGTATAGTCGAGCTCGCAAAATCGGAGCGCGAATATTACAACAACAGTAAGATCGGTCCAGGGGGTGTGGTATATTACGCAATACGACAGTTGGACAGCAGTAGGTCGGATTATGAAAGGTCGGATCACGGGCCGAAGCAGGCGCACATTGCAAGTCTCGGCCGAAGCAAGCGCACATTGCAAGTCTCGGCGTGTTGCTATGGTATATACAGACTACAGCAGCAGGAGGTGTCGCGATGGTGTCCAGCAGTCGTACAGCAGTATCGGCGTGATGCTGTGGAAGTCAGCAGTAGTATCAAATCTACAGACTTTTTTTTTTGCGGAGAGCCGGATGAAGACAGCAACGCCAACAGAACGCAACGACACATACGCGGGAGATTCACATTGGATAGCATAGCACAACGCAACAACGCAAACGTGGGAGACAAACGTGTGAGATACAAATTGGATAGCGTTCGCAATCGCCGACATACCTATTGTCATCGGCCATGATGGAGTGGAAGAAGTGGAAGAACAACGTGGTCCCCAACAAGAGAAACCCCGCGACCACCGCAGGAAGCCTTCTACATGCAGTCTGCATGACAACAAGCGAACGACGGCTGAACCCCATGGGCGCACAACATAGCCAGACACATGTACTCTCCGCAGTAGGGTAGACCAGACACGCGCGGGCAGGGCGCGTGGCTTGGACAGGGCGGACTGGTAATCCCACACGGGTGAGGATGTGAGGATGCTGGGAAGATTTTTTTCCGCTTCCCAACTGTCAGGCATGTCACGGCAGGTGTCCGGCATGTCACCGCATGTCACGGTATGTCACTGGTTGCACGAGGTACCACCTCGTGCTGGTGCACACCTCGTTAAACGTGTTCTGAAGTGGTATGTATGTGTCTATTATCATTACTAGAGTTGGAGGTGGAATAGGTGTTTGTGGTGGTTGCACAAAAGTACCTTCAGTAGGCTCATGCGTCTGTTCATTGGCTGGCTCGTGTGATTTTCTCGTCGTACAGAAGAACGGGGGGCGGTCCATCATCACCAGCTAGAGAGGGGGGTGTTATCCATCATCATTCGCTAGAGGGTGGTGTCCATCATCAGCTAGCGAGGGGGGTGGTATCCATCGTCACCAGCTATAGAGGGGGGGGGTGCTATCCATCGTCATCAGCTAGAGAGGAAAAAAAAACGTTAAAAAATGAGGAGTGGCCAAAATCGGGTACACCCGGCCCCAATCCGGCCATTATCGGGTACACTTGTTTTTCATAGTAGTCGGCAGCGCCCTCCTGGCGCCATCTGATTGGCCGACGCCCGCCCCTACCCGGCCCTGGCCCTATTCCCACCGGGTGCACCCGATTTTGGCTACTCACTCCCCGGAGGGGTACCCGATCTTACTCTCGCCTACCCGAAAATGGCTGGGCTATTCGACCAACAGACCAACAGCAGACCACGCTCACGAACACACGTCACCAACACCCCGCACTCGAGTTCCGACGCTTCCGACGGCGGGCGGAGGCGAACCTAACGCGGCTAACGCGGCGGAACTCTCGTTTGAAGTGGATGTCTCTCCTGCAAGCCTCCTCCTGCAACCCACCGCCGACGGCGGAACTCTCTCGGTTCTCGTTTCGTATCGGAGAGGGAGGAGAGAGAGGGCCAGGCGGGCGGCGGTGGATGGATACCTCTCAATACCTCACGTGATCACTTGAGCTGCACACAAACACATGACTCAGCTCAGATATGTCCACGGAAACATCAGGCACAGAAGCATCAGGGTGTCGCTTTCGTCTGGAAAACATGTATAGACACATCAAGACCGGAGATGTATGGCATGTTGTTGTGTACGCAGAGGTCGTTCGTACACAGCAATGCAGCAGCAGTAAGCAGTGGATGCCGTGGTTATGTCTCGATCAAGACCCGAGATACAGTCTATGACACATCGTTGTGTAGGAAGAGGATCGTACAGTTATGCAGGAGCAGCAAGCAGTGGATGCCGTGGGACCTCAGCTTAAACAGCGACCTTGACTTCGACCTCTCGTGAGTACCCGGGAGAGATAAGGAACTGCGGGCTTGCCACAGGAGATGGGGAAAGATAAAGAGTGGTGGTACACGCAGCATGAACGGTGTGCGCGATCAAGTTGCAAGAGTACCCCTCGCTTGTTGTGTCTCTGCCGCTATGCGCGCGGATGACCCTGTGACAAAAACTCCAAAAATACGATGTTGCCGTCATTGTCAACCCCTGAAAGATATAGTCTACTGACGGTGGTAGCAGAGTAGTACACACTACTGACAAAGCTGGTCGTAAGTGCGTCGTGTCGTGTGCTGCTATGATCAAACTGCGGGGCGCTACCTAGAAGTGCAACACTTGCATTCCCGCACTACTTACTTCTTCCAGGAGGGTAGAGGAACCAACCCCGATTTGCATGCAACAGTTTTTCGTGGCTGGCGGTGTCACCCTGACCTGTGTGTGGTTAAAAGCACACTATGCGTCCACAAACGAAGGGGCTGTCTTGGGGAAAAACATCGTGAAAAGAAGCGTATTCACAAGGATAGGTGATGCGGCTGCTGCGAAGTATCAAAAGTTTGTGGATTTTGATGTTGCGCAGCCTTACTTGTACGTTGTGCCTTGCTTGAGGGCGGAAAAATGGTGGAAAGTCCAACTGACACACGAAGTCGACGCAACAGGGTGCGGACAAGAGGAAAGACAAGAAGGATGACCAAAACAAGCGCGGAGCATGAGGTAGAGTCCGGAGGTGAAACACAGGATCAACACGTACCGTCCCTCGTATTGGCGATAAAAGCTTTCTTTCTAGTGCCATCTGATGATCCAACTGGCAGCAGATATCTAACGTGGACCGACTGAAGAGGCGAAGATGGCACGAAATAAACAAGACGGATGGACCAAAAACAGAATGAAAAGGTGAAACGATAAACGACCCCGGAACAGAACGAAGAGTTCGGAAATGACACACGAAACACGAGACAAAAAAACGCACAGCGCTCCTAGTCGAGACAATAGATTATTTCCTGTCAAAGCTACCCAAACAAAACAACCGTCAGAGACGCAAAATCGTGCCCCCACTAGGTTGGCGCTACAGCGAACTGACCGCCGTGCTTGTGTGAAGGGAGGCCGGTCACCTCGCACACCCAACAGTCAAAAATCAACAGCCCATCACCATCCTGCGACACATCGCGTGAGATTCATGCCCGGAATTTCTCAACCCAAACAAGGCGGGCCAGGCCATGCCATGCCAGGCCAGTACCGCCGCTGCTCAGCCACTTCA